AGGACTGAGTGCAGTCCTGCCCCATAAGGCCTTGGGAGTACTGATGGGTGGGAGCTGGACACAAATCAGCAATGTGCCCCTCCAGCCCAGAAAGCCAACTGTATCCTGAGCTGCATCCAAAGATGCGCAGCGTAGTCAGCAGGCGAAGGGAGGCGATCCCCGCCCCTCTGCTCTGCGCTGGTGAGGCCTCACCTCGAGTGCTGCATCTGGATGTGGAGTCCTCAGTGCAGGAGAAACATGGAGCTGTGGGAGCACATCCAGAGTACAGCCGCAAATATGAACCGAGAGATGGAACACCTCTCTTACAAGAAGAGAGAGCTGGGCTGTTCAGCCTGGAGAAGTGAAGGCGCCAAGGTGACCTGGTAACAGCCTTTCAATGCCTAAAGGAAAGAAGAAGGGACAATTGAGGTTAGATATACAAGAAATGTCTTCCACAGTGAGGGTGGTGAGGCGGTGGAACAGGTTGCCAGAGATGTGGTGAATGTGCTATCCCTTTCAAGGTGAAACGGGGTCAGGCTCTGAGCAACCTGATCCACCTGTGGATGGTCACTGTGGGGGAGTTGGACCGCATCGCAAACCTGCACACAAGCAGTGCACCAACGTGGGGCTTGCGATGTTCATTACCTGCTGCACAGATCTCACACCACTGATCAGAGGAGCCCAGGCAATCCTTAAACCCCATCGGGTTGCAAAATGAAGTCAGAAGAGATGCAGAATGTAATTTAATACATGATAATGATGCACAGAATGCCCTTAAAAATTCTGTATTGGTGCAATTAACACATGGCACTATGCATTACAGCCATAAAGCGGGATGATGTAGGAGCAGACAAACCACGTTTGGAGCCCCAGACTGGAGATTATGAGGTGAGAACCATTGAAGAGGAAGCAACGCACACCAGATACAGCTGCTCTAATCCAGCTTGAGATTCCCCCCAAAAAGGCAGAGCTCACAGCCCTGAAATAAAGCAGGAATTGCTCACCCCATACCCCAAAGGAAGCAGTCTCCAGGTCCAGATGTTGTCCTTACAGCTACCAGCCCTTAAATGAGACTAGGATCCCCCAAAAAGGGGGGATCACAGCACTGAAATAAAAACAGAGCCACTCACCCCATTCCAAGGACCAACGCTCACCCATGCTCTAAAGGAAGCAGTTTCCACATACAGATGGCTGCCAGCCTCCAACGTAGTCAGGAGACCCTAGAAAAGAGAGAGATCACAGCCCTGCAATAGAGAAGAGATCACCCACCCCATGGAGTAAGACTTACCCCACACTCTAAAGGAAGCACTCCCCAGGTTCAGATGCTGCCCCTGCACTTCCCAGCCCTTAAATGGGGCCAGGGAGGGGTGGAGCCCGGCTCGGCCCCACCCACAGCCGAACTGCCCCCAGCTGTGCTCGCAGGGCTGCACCCCTCCCAGGTGCTCCATCACAGCTCCCAGCTGTGTCCTCACAGTGCCTGTATGGCCAGAGAGCAAAGAGGATGAGTGTAAGGGAACTGCTGAGTCACGGCCTGAACCTCTGATTGACCACCTGAGGCGAGCCATGAGTCAGCCCTGGGAGCACAGGTGAAAGCAATTCACCTGTGCTGCGGGAAGGGGTGGAGCCTGGCTGCACCTCTCCTAGAGCCATTTAAGAGCTGACTGCCAGTGGGGAAGGATCTCTCTCTTGGGAAGATCCACTCCACTGGAGTTTCCTGAGCGAGCCCATGACATGGGTAAGCATCCTATTTACTCTCTTTGTCTCACTGTGCCTAACTCTCTTGCTTATTTCATTATTATAGCATCTTAATATCATTTGATTATATAATATTCCTTTATATAATTTTCATTGATTATGTAGTGAGTAAAATGAATGTCTGCCAAGGGAGGTCTATGGCTGGATGACCTGCCACAGCCACACACTTTGATCCCAGTCTGTCCTCGATGCCTGTTGGTGACTCTTCTAACAGATGGAGGAGCACAGATCTCAGTGCTGGTGCAGCAGATGCTGAGATCTGTGTGAGCAGCCTGGACAGCAAAGGGCTGAAATCATTGCTGGCAATGCAGAGTGCTGTTTGCACACCCACAGCTCCCAGTGACACTTAGCTGTCATTTCATGGCCCTGCGAATGGGAGCTGTTGAGTCAGGGCCTGAACCACTGATTGATCACCTGAGGCAAGGACTGAGTCAGTTGTGGGAGCACAGGTGAAGGCATTCAGCTGTGAATGGAAGGGTAGAGCCTGGCTGCAGCTCTCCTAGACCCCGTTTAAGGGCTGGCTGCCACTGGGGAAGGATCTCTGCTGTGGTGTTGTGATTTTTGTTGTCAGTGTTCCACATCAGAATATCATATAAAGTGAGTTAGAGTTCGTGTTCTGGTCCTTGGTCTGCCTTTATGGGTGTTTTAGGTTCTCGGATGGGAGGGGAGGAGCAGCATTCCTGGAGTACAGAGGAGGGAAGGTGGAATTCCTGGCTGGACCAAGGCAGAGAAAAAGGTACCTGCTTCTCCTTTGTAAGAACTCGTATTTGATGCTCTGTTTCTGTCTCATTTTGTTTGATTTGGTTGGATTTAGTAAACCACCGCTCCTCCTCAGATCGCTGCTGTTTTATTCATTAGACCTATCTCCCTGCTCTCACCCTCCCCAGAGCACATGGCCCACCACGTGCCTTGTCTCATTAGCCGTGGGGCTGGCTGCACTGTTAATATGTAGGATCTTTTCTTCCCTCTCTTTTGTCTCCTGGGTTTGTGCCCCTGTCACGGACTCAGATCCAGGGATAACTGTGACAATCTCTTCCTGCAGATCCCTCCTGTAAGGGAACTGCTGAGTCACAGCCCAAACCTGATTGCTCACCTGAGGCGAGCGCTGAGTCAGCCCTGGGAGCACAGTGAATGCAATATAGCTGCCCTGCTGGAAGGGCTGGAGCCTGGCTGTGCCTCTCCTAGAGCCACGTAAGAGCTGACTGCCAGTGGGGAAGGATCTCTTCTGGAGATCCACTCCGCTGGAGTTTCCTAAGCGAGCCCAGGGTAAGGCTAAGTGTCCTTATCTATTCTCTGTTATTATCATCTGCTTTGCCTAACTCTCTTGTTTATTTCATAATTGTAACATCTTAATATTCTTTGATTATACAATCACAAAGCAGTCTGGTTTATTCAGCGCTGTGTCAAGCTGGGCGCAGGACGCACCGCCCGCCCAACCTGCAGTCAGCAAAAAGCCTGCTGCAGACGCAGGCTGTGAGCCAGCACGGCACGAGGAGCTCCCAGCAGTTTGGTTACGGATCATCAGATTTCCGAGGAGCCATCAGCATGCAGACCCTCCCCCATTGCGTGTGCAGAGTTGTGGTGGTCTCCTCCTGGAGGTCGTAGGATGAAGAATCCTCATCTTCCTTGCCGTTAACTTCTGATCTTTTTGGGGGGCAGCCCCCCAAACCGTTTTCTTGTTGCCCTGTGTGCATCTCATCACTTCCCTGCCAGATGTCTCTGTGCTGTTCTCAAACCTGGATCTTTATGGCCTCATCCCCCTCGCTATCCCAGACCCAGTGTCTGCCGTCCTTTATTTTTCTAACCAGCTCTACATTCTTGCTTCTATAAACTATCTCTAACTACCCCCCCCATCCTTATTCCCTGTGAGGCCCTTTTCTCACTCTTACTCTTTTTCTACAGGCCCTCCTCACCCTTCAGAACATGAAGGAATGATGCTGGGTGACTCCATCGAGGTGCTGCTGGGGGGAGGGGCAAACTGGAGTAACACTGTGGTTCCATTGGGGAATGCTGGAGGGTGACATCAAGGAGTGACGCTGAGGGCTGTCATTGTTCAGAGCTCCCCAGTGCCCTTTCAGTGTCCTTCCCCCATTTCCTCTCCCCCCCTCCCCACCATTCCCCTACTACCACTCCATTTATTTCCCCTCCTTTCTCCATTTATTTCCCTCCATTTCTCCATCAATTTCCCCATCGCTTTCCCCTCATTTTTCAGCCATCTGAAACCCAAATGCCACCACATCCCGTCCCCTCAGCAGCGCAGCCCTCTGCACCCCCAGAGGTGTCTGCAGGGCGTCCACCTGGAAGGCCGCGGCCGCGCTGCCATCGTTCCCGCCGACCTCGGTGCCATCAGGGACCCAGACGGCCCCCAGCACGGCGCTGACCCGGCCGTGCTGACAGAGGACAAATGTCGCTGTTTGTCCCCTTGCTGCCGCCAGGCTGAGCAGGAAGCGGCGGCGCAGTGCTGCCCGCGTGGCCTGCGTGGCTTTTGTCACTTCTGTCACCTCTGGGGCTTCCCCACGACGGTTTGGAGTTGTGGAGCTGAAACCTCGTCCCGAACCATCGGGGCCACGTGGGAGGCGGAGGACGCTCACAGGGACGGCCATGGGGCTGTGGGGGGAGGGGGCAGAATGGGGGGGTGCTCAGCGGGACCCAAAACCTGCCATCTGCCCCCCAAAAGCCCCCCCAGGCCTTTTCCCTATGCAGTGACACACACAGCATCCCCCCCATATACCTCACAACCCCACCCTCAAAAGCCCCTGTGCCGCCACTAATTATCCCCACAGACCTGGTACCCCCAGTATACCCCCCCAGTCATCTTCCCCCACAATAATCCCTCCTGGAGTCTTCTGAGCCCCCCCAATAACCCCCCCAGACCCTCCCATAGTTCTCTGCATCCCTCAGAATCCCCCAATGATCCTCCCCAAGACCTTGAACCCCCCCCCATAATGGACCTGTCAGGGCTCCCCCAGTCCTCAGCCCCCTGCAAAAGCTCTCCCCCAAAGCAATCTGTGCCAGCCAGTAATCTCCCCTTAGACCTCATATGGCCTCCCCAGAAATCTCCAGAGCTTTCTGCCCCCCCAATAATTCCCCCAGACACCTCTGTACCCCCCAAAACCCCCATAGACCTTGACACGCCCCCAATAACCCCCACTCCCCTCCAAGACCTGCGCTCTTCCCCATAGGCCTCTAACCTGCCCCCTCCAGAACACCCCTAGAGACCTCTGACCCCCAACAAACCCCCAGAGACGCCCGTGCCCCTCCCATCCCCCCCCTTGCCCGTTCCCCCCAGTAAACCCCTCAGATCCCTCCCCAGACCTTTATACCCCTCAACAAACCCCAATTACACCCCCAGAGCCCCCAGTACACCTCTGCCTCTCCCGTAGGCCCTAGGATCCCCCCCAGGACCTTTTCCCCACCTCATCCCTCCCAAGAGTTTCCCCCCGTGACCCCTGACGCCTCCCACCTCAGCTCGGCGCCCCTCAGCCTCAGTTTCAGCTGCTGCGCATGCGCTGCACTTCCCGCCCGCGCTTTCCGTTTACGTCATCATTCTGCGACGCTCAGCTCGTGGACGGCGTATTCGCTTTCCGCACATTCGCTAAATCGCTGTGAGCCGCTCTAACCAGCGATCGGTGACCCCCTCCCCTCCTCTTTCCGCTTTCCGGTGTTTTTGGAACCCTCTGTTACTGTGTTTCTTTCCAATTACTATCTTCATGACCGTTTCTCCCCATTGTGACGAAAGTGCGGCGGCCGCGCCGCGTGTGCCGATTCGCCGCCGCAGATTCGCCGCGAGCCGCGCGTTGCGGCCTAGAAAAAGTAGAATAAAACCAAATGAAGAGCTCCGTTAGCCCCGCGCGTTCCCGTCGAGTCCTCGTGTTTTTTTTAAATGGAACTTTTTGATGCTGGGGTGCCGGTGGTAGTGCGAAAGTGCGGAGACGGACGCTCAGCGCGCGGCCCCGCTCCGCTGCGCGGCGGCTGCGGCCCGGCCCGGCCCCGCCATGCCCCGGTGAGACCATGGAGCCCAACCCGGGGCCCACGGGGGCCGAGGACGGGAGGCTGCGGCCCGGCGCCAAGCGAGTCACCTTCCCGTCCGATGAGGACATCGTGTCCGGCGCGGTGGAGCCCAAGGATCCGTGGAGACACGGTAACTGGGTGGGAGGGGGGGCGCTGGTTCGGTGGGCCGGGGTTGGGCCCGGTGGGATCCGAACCGGGGCTCCGTGGGGCCACGCGGGGTCCGGACCGGCATCTCGAGCCGAGGCTCCGTGGGTCACAAACTGGGTCTGCGAAATGGGGTCTCTGTGGGGCCCACGACGGGGTCTCCGTGGGTCGGAAACGGCGGCTTCAGCGGGTCCCGAAGTGGAGGTGTTGGTGGATCTCAAAATGGATCCGTCGTGGGGCTCGAACCGAGGTGTAAATGGGTCTGGAATCGGAGGCTTCAGTGTGGTCTGAATTTGGGGCCTGGGAGACCCGAATTGGGTCCGCTGTGGGGTCCAAAACGCCTCTCTGTGGGGCCCAGATGGGGGTTTCGGTGGGTCTGGAACTGGGACTTTATGGGTCCTGAACTGGGGGTTCTGGGGATCCCAACGATCAGTGGGGGCTCAGGGGGCTCAGGGTGAGGCTTTGGTGGGTGCCCAGCCGGGTGTCAGTGGGGCTCAAACTGGGGGCTCCGTGGGTCCTAAATTGGGCTTTGGTGTGGGACCTAAATTGAGTCCCTATCCAGGATCCGTGGAGCCCAGACTGGGGGCTTCGGTGGGACCCCAATGGGGTCCTCAGTGGGGCCTGGAATGGGCTTTTCATGGGGTCCAGACAGGGGCTTTGGTTGGGTCCCAGTCTGGGGCTCCATGGGTTCTGAACTGGGACCATTGCAGGACCCCAAATGGGTATCAAGACTGACCCCATTTAACGGCTCTTGGTTTGAGGTCAAACCCAACGAGGTTCCACAACCCCATAGATCCCAATTACTGCAGGATCCCATGGTTCCATGACCCCCCATAAGTCCCACACACCCCAACCATTGCAGGATTCTGTGCTCTCACAGCACACTGCTCTGAACTTGGCTCCCCCACTAACTACCCGTATCAGGTTCCCCCATGCAATCTCCTTCCTCTGCAGCCTTTGCTGATGAGCATCAATTATTCCTTCTGTTAATTTCTTATTTATGAGCTGTGGGGTCAGTCTCTTCTTCCCATGCCATCTTAGGTTACCGGACTGTGCTCCCATTTTGCAGCCCCTGCTCTATTTTGGGGTCCTCGAGGGCTCTGTTTTTAGGGTTTCCAATGGCTCCATTTTGGTGTCCCCCACAATTCTGTTTCTGGGGCTCTGTGGTTCCATTTTGGGATCCCCCAGGGCTCACTTGGGTTCCCCTGGGGCTTCATTTTCTGGGTCCGCCAGGGCTTTGTTTTGGGGTCACCCTTGTATCTCTTTTTTGGATTCCCAAAGGCTCCATTTCAGTTTCCCCCACAACTCCATTTTTGAGGCTCCGTGGCTCTGTTTTGGGAACCTTCAGGGCTTCTTTGTGTGGTTCCCAATGGCTCTAAGAGTTGCCCATAGTTCTGTTTTTAGGGGCCCTCCAGGTCTCTGTTTTGGTGTTTTCCATGCTTCACTTGGGGTTCCCCAGGGCTCATTTTTAGGGTTCACAATGGCTTCATTTTGGGGCCCCTTTGGAGCTCTGTGTTTGGGGTTCCCCCAGGACTCTGTTTTGGTGTCCTGAGCATTCGTTTTGGTGTCCCTAAGGGCTCTGTTTTGGTGTTTGGAGTCTGCAGGTCAACACGGTCATCGTTAGCAGAATAAATCCTCGTTAATGGGGATTGTTGGGGTCTGCAGGTCAATGAGAATGGAATAAATGCTCATTAACAGGAAGCTTTGGGGTTTTCAGGTCAGTGGGTCATCATTAGTGGAGTAAATCCCCATTAATGGAGATTGTTGGGGTCTACAGGTCAATGCGTTCCCTTTGCTGCTCCGGTTTGGACGCTGCCAATCTCTCTGATCCTGTGGATGACTCAGGGTTCTGCATCCATAACCACAACCCTAATTCTGTGCCTTTTCAGCCCAAAACGTGACCGTGGAGGAGATCGTCAGCGCCTACAAGCAGGCGTGCCAGAAGCTGAGCTGCAAGCAGATCCCCAAACTCCTCAAGCAGATCCAGGTAGAGCAGATCAGCCCACATAGAACCCGTTATTTGTGCCCCGTGTGCTTCCTGCCCCACAGCCCTAATAAAGGATGAAGTTAATTAGCACCGTGTTTTGCCTCATTTCACCTAATACTGTGCCTTGGGGCTGGGCAGGGCTCATTTTCCCAGCTGCTGTTTGAGATGGAGATGTTCCCATGTCTGTTCTTCACCCCAGCAACAAAAATCCCGTTGAGAGCTTTGCTGGTTAGCAAACGCAGCTGTGTGATGCCCAGAGCTCCTCCCAGCTTTGGGATTTGCCCAATTTGTTGTTTTTTCTCCTCCTCTTAGTGTTCCCCCCACCTTCATTTCTGAGGGTAAAATGCTGCCTTTTGCTCTTTTCCAGGAGTTTAAGGACCTGGCACCCAGGATAGATTGTTTGGATCTCAAAGGTGAGCGCCTCGTTCTGTGCTAATTGAATTTATCTTCCCACATTTGGGGCAATATTGGGATTTCACGTCGTTAACCCTTCAATTGAGTGGAGTGCCCCACAACTTGTGCAAGCAACCCCAGAAAAACCCTTTTTTGGGTTCTGTTGCCATCCTTTGAGCTAAAATTTTGAGATTTTGGTTCTTGCTTTCCTTCTCTTCCTTCAGTTGTAGGATCCCATGGTTCTGTGACCCTAAAGGTCCCTTCCAACCCAACCACTGTAGGATCCCATGGTTCCGCCAACCCAAGCACTGTAGGATCCCATGAATTTTATGACCATATAACAAGAAGTGCACCTCCCATCTGTGGGCCCTGAAGCCCCCTCCCCTCTTTTCCCACAGGCCAACTGCCCGCAGTCCCTGAACACGGCAGAAATTTACCTTTCCACACCCAAACTGCCCATTCTGTTGTTTTTTCCCCAGGGGAGAAGCTGGACTACAAGGCGTGCGAGGCGCTGGAGGAGATCTTCAAGAGGCTGCAGTTCAAAATTGTCGACTTGGAGCAGACCAGCTTGGATGAGGACGTGAGTGGTGCGAGTGGTTCTCATTGTGACTCAATGGAGCCTCGTGGTTTTTGTGGCCAATTCTGCACCTGGCGGGGAAGCGGATGAGGTTAAAAACCACGGAAATGGTTAAAAAGGGTTTTCACCAATGGTGGGGCAGCGGGTGCCAATTGTGGCTCACAGCATCGCAATGAGAAGGAGCCGTGGGGTCATAGGGGCCAACTCTTGGCTCCATGTAGGGTCACCCAAAAGTCAAACCCTACATGCGCCACCATCAGGGAGCTGTGGGAAGCTGTGGGCCACCACAAAGAAGCTGTTGGCCACCGTGAGGGAGCCATAGGTTTTCACCTTTCAGCCCCACTTTGGCCGTACTGATTTCTGATTGTCACATTTCTACTTTATATTGGCCATTCTCATCTCTTATTTCCACCTTTCTGCCCCATTTTGACCATTCCAGTCTCCGATTTCCACGCTCTTTTCCCCTGCAGGGCGCCTCGGCGCTGTTTGACATGATCGAGTACTACGAGTCGGCCACGCACCTCAACATCTCCTTCAACAAACACATCGGCACGCGGGGCTGGCAGGCAGCTGCACACATGATGAGGAAGGTGGGTGGGTGGGATCCCACGGTTGTGTGACCTTCCAGGACCTTTCCAACCCACGCTCTGGAGGATCCCATGACCTCCACGCCCCCATAGTGACGGCTGCCCACCCCTGCTCCATCCCCGCCGTGGGGCCCCACTGCAGCCCCCCCTATTTCCTGCAGACCAACTGCCTGCAGTACCTGGACGCCCGCGGGACGCCCCTCCTGGACCACTCGGCGCCGTTTGTGGCGCGGGCGCTGCGCATCAGCAGCAGCCTGGTTGTGCTGCACCTGGAGAACGCCAGCTTGTCGGGGCGGCCCCTCATGCTGCTGGGTGAGACCCTGGCCCCAGTCACCCTAATGATCCCAACGACCCCAACCCCAATGCCCCTAATGACCCTAATGCCCCTAATGACCCCAACCCCTGTCACCCTAATGATCCTAACGACCCCAACCCCAAGCACCCTAATGGCCCTAAAACTGAACTTTCACCCTAAAATTGAGCTCCAAAGCGAACCCTGACCTCAGGGCTCCCCCATAACTCTGCTTTTGGCTGCAGGCACTGGGTGTGGGTTGTGGTGGGCGGCCCCTCATTACCTTAATTAATCGCTATGCTAATGAATCAGCAGTTGTTTGGGCTACGGCTGATGACAGCCAGCGGGGCTGAGCTGAGAGCCAGGGAATGCTGTGGGGTTAATTGCTCATTAGGGCGGGTTAATTAGGAAAGGGAGACGCGCTCGCACGTGCCCCTGCATCAGTGGGGTGTTGGCTGTCGAGCCCTACCAAGAGACACCCCAAAACCCCATTTCTGACCCCCAAACCCCCTCCCAAAGGCCCCCCAGGACCCTGCCCACAGCCCCCAAAGTCCTGCCCAACTTCACCCCCCCCAAAACTGTGCCCAAATCCCACCCAGTCCACCAGATCCCCTCAAAATCCTGCCCAGAACCCCCAAAAACACTCCCCAGACCCCCAAAACTTCACTTCCATATGCCCCCCCTGCCAAAATCCTGCCCCAATCCTCTGAAACACGCACCCCACATCCCCCCAAACCCTTCCCAGATCCCTTTCTGAAAACCCCAAAACCTTCACTCCCTCCAGTACCCCTCCCAAATCGCCTCAAACCTTTCCCAGACCCCTGATAAGAGTTCTCCCCAAAACCTCTCCAAACGACCCCCCCCAAAATCCAGGCCGAAATCCTGCCCCAAATCCTCCCAAAGCTCTCATCCCCAAACCCTGCACGAAGACCCCTAGCCCCCCTTCAGAGCCCCCTGAACTCTTGCCCATAGCCCCCAAAACTCAGCCCAAAGGCCCTACAAAACTCTCATTCTAAATCTCACCCAAGCCCCCCAAAATTCTTCCCCAAAGCCTCCAAATCTCACCCCAACCCCCACCCCCTCCCCACATCCACCATATGAGGCACTGAAACCATTTTTTCCCCTTTTCACCCCAATCTGACGCTCTCAGCCCCACTTTGCTCCAACCCCTCCTCCCCCCCACCTCCCTCACCATTTTGGGTTAAAATCTCCCCATTTCTGCCCTCAGCCACGGCTCTGAAGATGAACGTGACGCTGCGGGAGCTTTACCTGGCTGACAACAAGCTGAACGGGCTGCAGGACGCGGCACAGCTGGGCAACCTGCTCAAATTCAACTGCTCCATCCAGATCCTGGACCTCCGCAACAACCACATCCTGGACTCGGGTGGGTCTGAGCAGAAATCCCCCAATCCTGTCTGGGTATCCCCCAAATCATGCCTAGATGTCCCCCAAATCCCACCTGGATATCCCCTAAATCTTATCCAGATATCCCCCCAAATCCTGCTCAGGTATCCCCCACATCTCACTCAGATGTCTCCCAAATCTTGCCTCGATGTCTCCAGATGTTCCCCAGATCCTATACAGATATCCTCTGAACCCCCCCCAAGCCCCCCCAAATCTCAGACCAAATCCCCCAAGTCTCAGCCCCACCCCCAGCCCTGCCCAGGACCCCCCCACCCCTCCCCATGTTCCCAACCCCCACCTCCCCCTCTCTGCACTCCAGTGGGGCACACGTAAGAAATCTGTTCCCAGTGAGATCCTCTTATGACCCCATTTCCATCTGATTTCACCCCAAATCTCAGAGCAGCAGCTCTGATCTCATTGTCACACACTATGTTCCTCCCCCCCAGCCCAGGAATGGGGTGACGACTTTTGGCCTCCCCCTGTTTCCGTGTCCCACCCTATAAACAGATCTGCCGGCGTTAATTAGCACGCATGGCACCTTCTGGATCCTTAATTAAGGCCTTGGCACGTTCCGGGTGCTTAATTAAAGCTGGGCATTTAATGATGTGGGATGGCCCCAGAAGGTTATGGGGGAAATATGTGGGGAGCAGTGGGGTGGAGCTGATGGGTGCGCCCCAATCTGTGCCAGAGAACCCCAAAATCTGTGCTCTGCTCTGTGCTCAAATCCTGCCAAGGACAGCCCCAAAATCCCCCCAAAATCTGCCAACTCCTCCCATAATACCCCCAAATTCTCCCCAAAGTCCCCCCAACCCCCCCCCCAAATCCTTTCCAAATCCAGACCAAAATCCCCCTCCCCAAATCCTTTCCAAATTTGCCAAAATCTCCCCTTAAAATCTCCCAAATCCCCCAAATCTTCCCCCAAAATCCTTTGCCAAAATATCCCCAAATCCTCCCCCAAGTCTCTAAAATCTTCCCCCAAATTCCCCCCCAAATCCTGACCAAAGCCCTCACCAAAATCCCCCAAATCTTCCCCAACCCCCCCAAATTGTCCCCAAATCTGCCAAAATCTTCCCCAAAATCCCCCCCAATTCCCCCAAATTTTCGCCAAATCTGCCCAAATTTCCCCCCAAACCCCCCACATTCTCCCCACTTCCCCCCTAAGCTGCCACCCCACACCCCCAGCTCCCCAACCCCATACCCCAATGTCCCCCCAGATCCACATCATCCCCATGACCTCCCCCACCCCAAATCATGTCTGTGTCTCACATACCCCACGTCCCCCCCACGCCCTCCCCACGTTCCCCCCACATCCCCATTTGTCCCCATATGTCCCCATTTGTCCCCATGTCCCCAGGCCTGGCCTATCTGTGTGAGGGGCTGCGGGAGCAGCGCCGTGGTTTGGTGACGTTGGTGCTGTGGAACAACCAGGTGACACAGGCAGGGACGGCGTACCTGGGGGTCACACTGGTGAGTGTCCCCAACATGTCCCCAGGCTTTGGGATGTCCCCAACATCCCACCAGAAATGGGGATGTCCCCAGTGTGTCTCCACTGTCTCCAGGCTTTGGGATGTCCTCAATGTCCCCAGTCTCTGGGACATCCCCAACACCAACCTTTGGTTTCCCAAGGCTTTGGGAAGTCCCCATTGTCCCCAACATCCCCCCAGGCTTTGGGATGTCGCCATTGTCCCCAGCATCCCCAGACCTCAGGATGCCCCCATCTCTGAGCTGTGGTGTCCCCAGTTTTCAGGACATCCCCAACATCCCCCCGGGCTTCAGGATGTCCCCATTGTCCCCCTGCTGTCCCCACAGCCCCACGCACAGAGCCTGGAGACCCTGAACCTGGGCCACAACCCCATTGGCAACGAAGGGGTGCGCAACCTGAAGACGGGGCTGATCGGGAACCGCTCCGTGCTGCGCCTGGGGTTGGCTTCCACCAAACTGACCTGCGAAGGTGGGGGGGGCACGGAGCCCCATGGAGCCCCTTGGGGAAGGGGGGAGTCTGGGGGGGGGACCCCATGGGGATCCCACAGAAACGCCGTCGTTGGGATCTAGCAGCGGTCACCAAGGAGCCCAAGGGATGGGGTGGCTGTGAGCATGGGGACCCTATGGAAGTGATGTCATCAAGGTCGAACGGGTGACCTCAATGTCACCACGGCCATCCCATCCTATAGGATGGGGGTCCCAGGCATCGTCACCTCTTGGGGACCCCACAAAATGCCATTGCTGATGTCCAGTGAGTGACCCCGATGTCATTGTGACCATCTCGTCCCCTGGGTTGGGAGTTCTGGGGGTGTCTTCTTCGAGACCCTACAAAAATGGCATCCAGTGAATGACCCCAGTGTCCCCGTGGCCATCAGCCCTTGGGTTGGGTTGTGCTGGGCATCGTCACCTCTTAGGGACCCTACAGAAATGACACCCTCAAGGTCCAGCAGTGACCCCACTGTCGCCATGATCATCTCATCCCTTGGGTCGGGGGTCCCGGTTGTGGTCTCTTCTTGGGGACCCTACGAAAACCACATCCATCCCACCAGTGACCCCGATGTCCCCATGGCCATCATCCCTTGGCCCCGCGCTCCCAGCCACCTCCTCCTCTTTGGGGGCAGCCCACAAAATGGCCGTCCACGAGGTCACGGCGGTGTCCCCCCCCATAGGGGCGGTGGCGGTGGCCGAATTCATCGCCGAAAGCCCCCGGCTGCTGCGCCTGGACCTGAGGGAGAACGAGATCAAGACGGGGGGGCTGATGGCGCTGGCGCTGGCGCTGAAGGTCAACCAGTCGCTGCTGCGCCTCGACCTGGACCGCGACCCCAAAAAGGAGGCGGTGAGGGGTGGCGAGGGAGGGAACCAAGGGGAGGGAGCACAAAGGGGAGGGATGTCCCCAAAGATGGAGGATGGGGGGTGGGAGGGGGGGTCCCGAAAGGAGGGGCATGGGGGGGACATGTGGGGGTGTCCCCAAAAGGGGGGCAAGGAGGGAGGGTGGGCATCCCCAGAGGGGGAGGAGGACATGGGGGGGGTGGGTGTCCCTAAAGAGAGGGGGAAATGAGGGGGGTGGGTGTCCCCCCGATTAGGGGGGGCATGGGGTGTCCCCAAATTTCTCTTTCCAAATCCCCACATTTTCATTCCCAAATCTCCACACTTCCCATCCCCAATTTCCACTCCCCAACCCCCACATTCCCCCCCACCTGACCCCCTAAATGCTCCCTTTCCCACCATCCTGCCCATCCCATCCCATCCCATCTCCCCCCAATCATTCCTTCCCACCCCCGTTCTGCTCACTCCTTCCTTCCCGCAGGTGAAGAGTTTCATTGAGACCCAGAAGGCTCTGCTGGCTGAGATTCAGAGCGGCTGCAAACGGAATTTTGCTTTGGCTCGCGAGCGCGACGAGGGGGAAGCGCAGCCCCCGCAGCCCCCCGGCATGGCCGGCATCGGGGGGGGGGACGGCGGGGACCCCAACGGGGACGGCAGCGACGGGGACCCCGATGGTGGCGGGGCCGGAGTGCGGCACGGAGCGGCCACCGATTCCAGCTCGGATACGGAGGATGAGGGGGCTGGGGGAGATGGAGGGCGAAGGGACGGCGCAGTGAGCCCCAAGGGGGATGCCGAAGGTGGGGGGGGCACCGAGGAGACCCCCGAGTCACCCCAGGGTCAGCAGCACCGCATTCTGGTCACCAGCCCCGGGAGGGGACACAAAGTCTTCGTGGTGACGCGTGTGGAGAGCGGGACCGGCTGTGATCCCAAGGAGGCAATGGGGAGAGAGGGGACGGACAGCACCACCAACGGGACCGGAGCCAGCAATGGGACGGGCACCATGGGGACAGCCACCACCTCTGGGACAGCCACCAATGGGACGGGCACCATGGGGACAGCCACCACCACTGCGATGACCACCACTGGGACAGTCACCACAACCTGGGCCAGCCCCACCAATGGGACGGTCAGCAGTGGGACCGGCCCCCCCAGTGGGATGGCCACTGATGGGACTGCCACGACCTCCAGGATGGTCACCACCAATGGGATGGCCACCAGTGGGATTACGGCCACCAGTGCGCTGGCTACTGATGGGATGGCTGCCGAAGGGACAACCACCACCTCTGGGACGGCCACCATCAGTGGGACTATCTCCACTGGGATGATGGCCACCAGTGGGCCGGCCACCGACGGGACAGCCACCACCTCCGGGATGGTTATCACCATTGGGACAGCTGGTGATGGGACAGCCACCAGCCCTGGGATGGCCACCACTGGGACAGTCACCACCGGGATGGCCGCTGATGGGACGGCCACCAGCACCGGGATGGCCACCAGTGGGACAGTCACTGAGGGGACAGCCACCAGTGGGGTGGCCGGCATTGGGACAGTCACCTCTGGGATGGCCACTGATGGGACGGCCACCAGCCCTGCGATGGCCACCAGCAGGGTGACCACTGGTGGCCCAACGCTGCCCAATGGGCTGAAGGCAGAGCTGGGCCGGGCACTGCCTGACAGCGACAGCAAAGCAGGGAGCTGCGGTGCTGAGCACGGTATGGGGGTGGGGAGCGGGGGGACACGGGTGGGATTGGGTCCTAAATGTCCCTGTGGGGACCCGGCTGCATCCCCGTGATCCCAACGATTGCTGTTGTTTCAGAGCTGAGCTGCTGGAGGGACGAGCGGGATCTGGAGGAGCTGCTGCTCGAGGCCAGCCAGGATGCGGGGCAGGAGCCGCCGTGACAGCGCTGGGGGGGGATGGGGGCTGGATTTGGGGTCAGGGGCTGGATTTGGGCTCAGGATCTGGATTAGGCCTCAGGATACAGATTTGGGGTTGGGGCTGGGTTTTGGATCAGGATCTGGATTAGGCCTCAGGATCCAGACTGGGGGTCGGGGTCCAGATTTTGGATCAGGATCCGGATTTGGGCTCAGGATCCGGATTTGGGCTCAGGATCTGGATTTGGGCTCAGGTTCCAGCACTGGGATCTGCTGTGGGGTTTTGGGGTCCCCGTGCTGTTCCCAGTTCTCTCTCAGATGCCCAACCCGGCGCCCACTCCCACCCGTGTCCCCAAACCGGTTGTCACCTTGGCGTGTCACCAGGCTGTGGTGTCCCCAACAGGAGGTCACTGCATTGTGGTGACCCCAATGGGTGTCGCCGTGTACCCCACAAAATGTCACCTGGATGTGGTGACCCCAACGAGACGTGACCCCAAAGGGATGTCACCAACATGGTGTCACCAACGAGGTAACACCAATGAGACCTCAGCCGGACGTGGTGTCCCCAAGTGGGATGTCACTACATGGTGGTGTCCCCAACGGGATGTCACCAGCGCATGGTGTCACCACGCTGTCCCCAGGGAGGTGTCACCGTGTCCCCAAGAGGCGACCTGTCCCCAATGTCGCTGACGCTGTCCCCAAAGGTTGACGTCCCCAGTGCTGGTGACGTCCTCGAGATGGGTGGCTCTGACCCCAAACTGTCACCCCATCCCCAAAGGTCGTCCCCAAAGGGTGACACCATCCCCCACTGGTGACATTGTCCCCAGTGTCAGTGGCTCTGACCCCAGAGGTGTCATTGTCCCCAGAGGTGGTGGTGACCCCATCCCAGCTGTGGGTGACGCCGTCCCGCCCCTCTCAGGCTGTTCTCAGGGGCCGCAGTGTTGGGGGGGAGGGGGTCTTTATTTGGGGGGAGATTCGATTTTTTCTTTTTTTTTCTTTTTTTGGTGTTTATTTTTCTCCTTTTTGGGGGTTTTTGGTTTTTTCCCCTTCCGAGAAGTGCAATAAATGGGGCGGCAGTGGGGGGGCCGCACGGGGGCTGCTCCCCCACCCCCCCCTTTCTCCCCCAGTGGGGTTTTGGCCAAGGCTGGTTTCTGTCAAAGCAGAGCTGCTGTCAGCCGCTGTGCCTCCAGGGTCGGCTCTGTGGGGTGGCCCCATCCCACATCCATGTCCCCAACCCCACAGACATCACTGCTGCCCCATGGTGACATAGGGGCCGTTCCCTCCCCCCCCTCCCCCAGCCACCACCACTCCATTTTTTGACCCCATAAAAGCCCATTTTCGGTTCGGACACATTCACTGCTTTATTGGGGTGTCACCTCTTCCCCATGGTCACCCCAGAATGTCCCCATGGTGTCCCCCCACCATGCACTGTACCTCACGGGCTCCCACTGTGGCCCCATTGGAGTCTTTGGGGACTGTTCTGGCTGACCCCATTCCCACTCCCCCATGTCCCCACTGTCCCCACCACCACTACGTCCCCAT